ATATATATATATCGCACAAAATTTAACTAGAATTTTGTAATTTGGAACAGATATAATGCGTTCAAAAGGAATTTGTTTGACATAAAATTAACAAAGAATAAACTTATTTTCGAAAACGGAAATGGCTTTTATAAATAACCGCCTATAAATACAAAATGCACCAATTTAAAAGATCTTGTAAGAAAAGTCATGAAATGATTGGTTTGGGGTTATTTTCTTCCCTTTTATTAAAATAATCTAATCTTTCCCTCCCTGTAACCTTTAAACAATATTTCTTTTCTCTTACAAAGTTTTTTTTTCAATTCTGGAATTCCGAGAACCAATGGTCTATATTATGTCCTCCTTTGGACTCAACACATTTGAAAGCGTCATTCGTAATGTCCAGTGGTGACCTAACACAAGGATCCACTCAACCTGAAAAATTGTCGTTTTGTCTATGAATGTTTGGAACTGATTATCTACAGGTTCTAACGGATGAACCATTTCCACCTTTGACATCAAAGAAGTCCTTAAGGGCACTTTAACATTTTTTCCGTACCTTATGCGAAACTTACGAAATGAGTTGGTGATGAGGAAATAATCAGTACAAAAAGCTCTCTGCTCTTTACTGATCTCAACCATGTTCTCAGCAGGTAAAGGAAACTTGAGAAAAACGATCTGCAAACTTCTGTAGGCCTGTTAGACTGCTGTAGTTTGCAATATGACGCAATCTTTGTGATTTTTACAGGTAGACCTTACGCAAACTAGTGTGTCGTGCTACAAAAATGGGGACATAACTGAAAATGGGTTATTTTTTTACGCGCTAAGTAGAGTAAAGCTATTCGGTGGATTTTTCTGAAATGAATATCAGACAAATTCCTTTTGACTTCCAAAATGTTGTGCACAAATTTGGAACGCAAAGCTTCAGTGTGTAGGAAAATTTTTACAATACAGAAGTTGTTGGGGATTTTGTTGTTGCTGTTGTTGTTTGTTTTGTTTTTTGTTTGTTTTTTGTTTTTTTTCGG